TAGTAGGTACGTAGGTTACGGTTTCGGGTCGGTTACGTTTAGGTTGTATACACGTAGTAATAAAAAGTTACTAATAATATATATATATATATATATATATATATATATATATATATATATGATTTGTAAGGAATCAAATAAGGAATTTGATTTGTAATGCACTTTTTAATATTCTTTATATTATGGTAAATAATAAAAAAAATTGGTCATTAATACTCAATTTTAGATTTTTCCATTCTTTCAAATTGTTTAAAAAATACCTCTAGGCACAAATTGATTAGTCAAAATCCATTTTTTCATTAATTTTCAACTTCATTTGAATGTGTTTTGTTTTAATCATTCTTTATATGCTTTTCATATTTTAGTGGATTTTTTTTTTTGTATATTTTTTATTTTTTGACAAGGTTACAAGTACAAAGTTCAAATTGTATCTTTTTTATTTTTTTCAGCACTTTTTTGATCGTCTGGAACTTGTCCGGTTAGAGCAGTTGAATCGGCCAGTTTACCGGTTAGGCAGGTTAAACTGCTTTTGGGCCACCGTTCTGGTTCGATTTTTCGAATACTGCTAGAGAGACATGAGAGAAAAGGGGCATCATTTATTAGAGAAAAAAAGAAAAGAGGGGTTCGAGGAGTTTGTTTAGAAGAGAGATAGAAAAAAAGAGAGATGTGATAATACTGGGTTTTTGGGTAGATCAATGGAGATTACAAGCCCCTAAACGTTTTAGAAATGGTTAGTGGTTTTCGAATATGTATGTAGGAAGGGAAGCCTGTGAACCTTATACAGAGTTGCCAGATCGGAAACATACTTCTAATTGGTTAGGGCTAGCAATGATGCTCACATCTTTTTATTATATATCATTGTCCCGTGTTGGTAAGATTCAATTATCAAAATGCCTCTAGTTGTTCAAGGTCAAAATTTTCCCAAACTGTTTGAAGAAAGTTTCTCAAACACTATTTCAAAATTTTCTCAAACTTTGCTTAAAATCTGCTCAAAATTTTCTGAGACTTTGTGTACAAGTTTAAGAAACATTTTACCAAACTTGCCCCCGAATTTCATATCCGAGATAGAGGTGATTGTGATCCTATTGTACATAAGACAAATCATAGTACAATATTCAATCCCTTTAATGAATGGGATTGTATATGATAAGACCATTGATTTTGATACAAGGAGATCACAATCACTTTTAACCATTGAGTGTGAAATCTAATAGATGAAAATATGCAAGAAGTCTTGTTTTAAACTTTATGTCTAAACAATGACTCATCCTCAACTACTCGATTTCAAATCTAACGATCAATAATCATCGTGATCTCCTCGTATTGTATACATTTCCTCAAAGAATAGGCGTGAATTGAGTGTTATTGTTCATTAGTGGAAAGTGAGGGGTTCCTTTTAATCATGTTAAAAGAAAAGCAATGGACTTCCCATATGAACCTCCCACGCCAAAAGCCTCACATCCTTTTGTTTCCTTCTTGTACATACTTTTCCCATCAAACTCCACGTGAATGGAAGGCTATAAAACCCGAAGCCCACCATGACTTAGTGATGGAGGCTCCCCCACTTCTCTTCTTAGCCCTTCCTCCTTAGCTAGGCTTCCTATAGTTTGCCTCAAGATGGGTGACCAAGTGGAGGGTAAAATGGTAATCCTACTCCTCACCCTTACTTTGTTAGTGGGGGGTGTGTGTGGTGATGATCCTGAGCTCGGGTCCCCTCCTCCACCCAATGCCCGCCCTCGCCTTCGCCCCCTCCCCCACCCATTCCTGTCCCCGCCCGCACCTAGGTGCCAGCCCCCACCCCTGCCTCCTCCCAAGCCCAAGCCTCCGCCTCAGCCCAAGCCTCCGCCTCAGCCTCAGCCTCAGCCTCCGCCTCCGCCCAAGCCCAAGCCCAAGCCCCGTAAGGCCATTTGCAAATTGAAGGAGTTCCCACTGTGTTACCTATCAGTGCACACGTGCCCAAACGAGTGTCCCGAGCGCTGCGCCGTTGACTGTGCTGCATGCAAGCCTGTGTGCAGTAAGTTATCATTTGATTCGTAATTTTCTTATTTGTTCTTTTTCATCTTTGTAATTGGGTTGGCTGGGATTTGAACCTTGAATGTTGTGGTACTACCCCATGTGCCCTAAGGTTTTAGGTGTGCCATGTGTTGATCATTGTTAATTTTCAAAAAAAATATAAGTTATCATCAATCATTGTTAATTTTCAAAACAAATATCAGTTATCATCAATCATTGTTAATTTTTAAAACAAATATCAGTTATTATCATTATCCCAATCTTATCTCAACTATTTGAAAGCCACTTCTAAAACAAATATTAATATTCACCCAAAAGTTATAATCTCTTTATGATTGTTCTCACTTCCTCCATCATAGTCCATCATTCTGATATGCAATGTGGACGATTGATTTTGTCAAGGAAAAAGTCTAAATAAGGATGCAACCTTAAAATATAGAATTAAAGATACACCTCCAAAATCCATTATAAAAGGCCCTTAAAATGTAGAACTAAAGATGCACCTTCAAAATCCATTGTAAAAGGCTGTTTGGATGTTGAAAAACCCTCTAATTGATCATCTCGACATCGAGATGCATGAATATGGAAAGAAAAAAAAGATTTTGAGTCCATAAAATAGGGTATTCTTCCATATATTATCTGGACTGTCCATTTTCATTATTTTTATGAGTTTATAGATCAACTTGATTTGAATAATTTTTAGAGTTTAAAATTTTATAATTAGAGACGAAATAAATTCTCAAGTCCTCCATAGAAATTTTTATATCAAAATTACATTTATGATAAAATTTAGCGGTGTATAATAATTGGTTTGTTTAAGGTTGCAACCTTATCTTATCTTATGCAAACCACGCCCTTTTTATCAATGTTCTTAAGAATAATGTTTTGCCTTGTACCAAAGGTATCACAAAGAACCATTTGCATGCTATCAGTGTCTAACCCTGGTTTCTATGGGGTTGCAGTATGCAGTATGCCAGGCGCGGTGTGCCAGGATCCTCGGTTTGTGGGTGGTGATGGTGTCACTTTCTACTTCCATGGAAAGAAGGACCACGACTTCTGCCTCGTCTCCGACCCAGATCTCCACATCAACGCCCACTTTATCGGAAAAACCAGGCCCTCCATGAAACGAGACTTCACCTGGGTCCAGTCCACCGCGATCCTCTTCGGGCCGCATCACCTCTTCATAGGGGCCCAGAAAGTTGCCAAGTGGGACGACTCCCTCGACCACCTCTCTGTAACTTTCGATGGCCACCTTGTGCACCTTCCCCTCAGTGAGGGCTCAGAGTGGAGAGGCCAGGCATGCCATAACTTGACCCTCACTCGAACCTCCAGAACAAATGGGGTGGTGGCTGAGCTCATAGGAAAGTTCAAGATAACAGCAAATGTGGTGCCTATAACCATGGAGGAGAGTATGATTCATGGGTATAATATAACAGATGAGGATTGCTTTGCTCATTTGGATCTTGGGTTTAAGTTTTATGGGCTAAGTGGCAATGTGAGTGGTGTGCTTGGCCAAACATACAGGGAGGGGTATAGGACTAGGGTCAGAATGGGTGCAGCCATGCCTATAATGGGAGGGGACAGCGAGTTTGCGACTACAAACCTTTTTGCAGCTGACTGTGCTGTGGCGAGGTTCGAGAGCGGGAACGCGACCGGCGGAGATATTTGGGCTGAGGATCATGAGTGATTTCGGTGTCGGAGTGGAATTGTTTGCAGGAGGAAGGAGGAGAAAACTGTAGTCCAAGGAGTTGTGAGCAAGGAGGAGAGGGCTTTGTGGTAAGTGCATTTTCACCTTTGTCTCTGTGTCCATCTCCCTTTCTCTTTTTTATGAACAATAAGCGAGATCTTGGTTGAAGTTATTTACTTCACATCTCTCTCTATCTAAGCCTATCGAAGTAATGAAGTATTAAAGCTTTTGGTTGGTAATGGTTATGGTGCTTAAGATCATTTACTGTGTGGAGCAAAGCAATATTTCTTCTAAAGGTATTTGGTAACTCATGCTTCCAACCTGTATTATGCAAAGTTAAGTAAGTTGGGGAATAATGATATATCGGCAAACCAAAATATCGTTAAAGAATAGAATATGTTTTGTTTTGAAAGGGCGGAGGTTACAATGGATCAAAACAAATACAACTGACCAAAAAACTATAAAAAATAAATAAATAATAATAACAATAATAATAATAATGTAAGTTATAGAATCATGAATATTTTTGAATTTGTCTAAAAAACAAAAGAGTAAAAATCGGATATGTAATATAGGATAATGATTTGCAGTTATTGCATGTATACATTGAAGCAATATTGAACAATAATTTTATGGCCTTTAGAGTAATACTTGATAATTTATTGTCTAAACTATCAATAAATCCAACATGAATGCTTACTCTATTGTCATAGTACGAAGCATATCACATATTTATTGGGTGCATAAAATGATATAACAATAATAATACTTAATACAATGGGGGATGCATCTTTAAATTTGCATCCCCCGATACATAAACCATCAATGTAAAGATGGATTTAAGCCATGATCCTTCAAAAAAAAAAAAAAAAGGTCAAATCAATGGCTCAAAACTTTCATTCTAAAAGAAATGATATTTAGTTTTTAAATTCTTTTTTTTACACATTAATGATATCCATATTAGGAATTGTATATTTCTTAAAAATTAGGGTCTTTATTTCAAAAATGAATTATTATAGGGCCTGCATTTCTACATATGAATCCTGGGACTTACGAAAACCATTTCAGAAGCTTTAAGCAATAAAACTTCTATATTTTTGTAAAAAAAAAGAAAAAAAAAAGAAAAAAAAAGAAAGAAAAGAAACCGTGTCAGGGGGCCACATTTTTGTAGCTCTGTTCTTTCAAAGTTCCCCGCATCCATATCTCCTTCCAAATTGAAATAATTTATAAAAAATAAAACCGATCCTAAAGAAACATAGAATGAAGAAGTGCCTAAGATTATTTTTCTCCATGAACTCACCATAGAAAAAAAGCCACTTTGGCCTAACCATAATCCGAGAGGACCCCAACTAACCCATAAATCCATTTTGGAATACAATGATGGGGCTCCTCACACTATGGTGGGCCCCATCCCACACTAAGTAACCGCCCAACAGGACCCGCTTCCCTAGCCCGGTTCCACTAACCATAACCTTAAACGACGACTTTTGTCCCACACGTGTGAATGATAATGTGTTAGGCCTCACATTAACCTTCATACCCTGCGGGGCCCACACACGTGCCTTGTAGACGGCTTTTGGTGGGCCCACGTTTGTGACGGTGCGCCAGAATAACCCTGAGGCGTGATCTTGTCCGTCGGGCATTTGGAGCTGCATGGCAGGGTAATTTAGGCCGTCGGATCCTCGGGCTCGGGGCACAGCTGAGCAGTTGGCCCACTTGCTACCCGTCAGGTGGCGAAGATTGGTGACGTTGATGCCCTCCTTGCATAGGAATTGTATGTAGGAGATCTCATCCGCATCGTAGATCAAGCCCGGATTGATGGCTCTGATGGGGTCGAGCAGTCCTGCTCCATAGTCGAACTCCTTGTTCCGGTTTGCCTTGTTTCTCATTGCTCTGGCTGAAGAAAAAAAAAAAAAAAAAAAAAAAAAAAAAAAAAAAAATACAGGGTTTAAGATTGAGATTTGTCATGAATGTTAAAAGTTATGTTATTTATTATTGCCAGAGATTTTATTTTTATTTTTATAATAAGTTTGTTAAGAAATTAGATCCTTATTTGTTTTGGAGAAATGAGTATTCAAGCTAGGCTTCTGTGGCTTCCCAAGATCTAGTGCATTTGAACCATTTCATCCATTCAGGCAGACCACCTACATTAAGGTGGGATCAGCATTGAAGAAATGGAATGGACCGCATCTACTGCTCCAACCAACGATACCCCAGCTTCGCTCTCGCTTGATTTTCTTTGGGTAATTCAATGGGGGAAGACAAATCCTTTCTCGTTTTTTCAGATAGATTAGGGAGTTGGTTTTTTTTGGAGATGTCATGGTGTCTCAGCAAAATTGAAAACCACAATGCGGTAACTAAGTATGGGGGTTCTACCACCATGACCCAGCCCATATCCTGACCCACTTCAGCGATGAAAATAGGAGGTCCAGACATGCCTATCTAATCAAAAGCTTGAGCCTCTTGTTTATATAAATAATTGTTTTCCATATTTGGGTGAGGCTGGCTGGAGGTGAAACTGAAATCCAAAGCCACAAACAGAGGCATTTGGGTGAGGCTGGCAGCATTCTTTGTTTTGACCAGAAAAGAAAATTGCTTTCCCTTTTGGATGGATTAGGGGTAAGTTTGAGGCGTTTCAATTATTTTTGTTGACAAAGTACATTTCATAAAATTTGAATACTAATAAGGTGTTTTTCCAAAATTCTATATCTTTAAAAATGTGATTTTACAAAAAAATTGAATAAATTAGGGGTATTTTGAATTTTTTTACAAATATATTGATTTTTAAGAGGAGTAATTCGCTTGACTTCGGTTTAGGGCAAGAAGATTAAGACTTTGGCTATTTTGAACTAGAGAAGCTAATCTAATGACATTGGGTTATACACCCAAATGGATTTGGGGACCCGGAGCAATCAAAGCTTACAACTGGACTAATTTACCCTTAAGCCAGCTTGTAGAGAGAAACCAAAATCTAGTATAGAAATAAATGATGCAATAAAAACCAATTACGGGTGGCTATGGGCTGGGTGGCCTGGATTGCCGGGCCCTAATAAAGCTTGGGTTTGGGCCACAAAAATGTGGCATGAGGGTTGGGCTAGGGCCAAACAACCACAACCAAGGATAAGGTGGCTGGGCTTGGCTTGGGCCAAGGCAATCTTAGTTCAGACCGGCCCGACCCTATTTTCATTTATTTTTCTTTTTATTATTTTTATTTTTTTACTCATCCTGGCTCAACCTAGCCCGGCCCTGATAGGACTAGCCAAAGCTGGCCTGGGCCTGGGCGGCCCTATGGGGACTATGGTTGAGCTAGGGCAAAGACTGGCCGGACCATTGCTAGGCCTACTAATAATAAGACACTTGGTTTTTGTGAGGGAGTACAAGGGTTTGAAGTTTGGAATTTGTCAAAACCAAACCAAGCTTACCAACCACTTTTATAAGATTCAAATATGGGGTTATTTATTATGGGGGAGAAGCACACAAAGAGAGTATTTATTTTTAACACAAAGAGGTTACAATCACTCTAGTCCATCAGATTTGAAATTAGGTGTTGTGAGTGTGTTATTGATTAGGCTTAAAGCTCAAAAAAAGAAAAAAACATCCAAATTTTGTGATACACCTCAAGCCATCCAACTTAACCTCTAAAGGCTATGAGCAATTGTGATCTCCTTGTAACTAAGGCCGATGATCTCACAGTGTACAATTCATTGTTATTGTTTTAACTATTGTTTGTAATACTGTGTTCAAAATTTGAATCCCACAAATGGCCTACTTCTCCTCCCCCCCCTCCCAAATAAAAAGAGAGAAAGGAGAAAGGTCTCATGCATGAGAACATACCGGTGGTCATGAGAGCCGATTTGATGGCAGCAGGAGACCAAGTTGGGTGGAAAGACTTTACATAGGCGGCCGCCCCGCTTACATGTGGGCATGACATTGAAGTTCCTGAAATAATGTTAAATTTTGAGATTCTCTTATCTTCAATGTTGCCGGTAACTGTTGTTAGTGTCGAAAATGCAGCCAAGATATCCACCCCAGGAGCTGCAATATCAGGCTGCATATCACAAAGAAGCCAACTGAGGGTGGTGCACAGATAGTGGAATACAAACATTTTTGTGTTGAAAGTAGTTTTATGGAAAGTATTATTTGGGTTTGCTACAGTTTCTTCGCTCTCTCTCAAATTGAGAGTTGTTGGTAATTGAGGGAGTATCAAAATGACAGCACAGTATACAAACCCTTTCCTAGCTGGTGTACTTTGGCATTTCTTTTGGGATTTTATTAGCATATAAATAGTGTGCTGCATGTATGCATATCCTCCTGGCCAACACAAAATTTTGATCTCAGAGCATATACGGTGGAAAGTTTTGTACTCTTGAGGGAGCAAAATGTACATTCGCTCCCTCGGTTAAATCTATTATTGCCCTTTGGAAAATGCAGTTTTTTCAAACTTATTTGTGCTCATGACTAAGGACCTTAAAGCAGTGAAAACCGTGTAGAACTAATGGATATGTGAACCTTTAAAATGGACGGTTTAAAAAGCATTCGACAAGACAACCCATTTTTTAAAAGATACGGGTTTGGTGAGTCATACTTAAAAGACAGTTTTGGTGAGTCAGCCGACTCACCTGTTACCATGCGGTTCTATTTAAGGTCAATATCAAAGATGGATGTTAGAAAATATTACATCCACTAAAAGTTAGAAAGGACTGTGAGGAAAGGAATTATAAAAAAAAAGGATTGACTAAAAAGAGACCATTTCTTCTTTGAAAAAAGTTTATATAAAGACGAGGTTCTAAACAATCAAATTAGAGCCACCTCAAAAATTTCGTGTTTTGATGCCCAATATCTTTAAGTTGATCATCAAGATGAATGGACATGAAAAAAAAATGGATTTCAAGTTTTGAAAATTGTGCATCTTGTAATGCATTTTTTGGATCGTCAATGTTCAAGTGTTCATATATCTGCTCGATCTACACTATTTTTGAAGCTTTAAATTTTATAATTCGAGATGAAAATATATTTTAAGGTTACCACAAATATTTTTAGTATTGAAACCACATTTCTCGATACTATTTGAAGGTATGCTTTACTTTGATTGTTTAGAGCCTGGGCTCTATACAAACCGCTCCAATAGGCAAATGTATCAATATCTAATGAGTGAGAATGATTGTGATCTTTATGTACAAAAGATAAATGATATTTTTGTAGACAGTCCCTTAAAAATATAACATTTTTGTTTTCTGAAAAAGACAATTTTTAAATTGATACCATTGTCATGGTTGAAATTATCGAACCCTAAAATTTTGGATCGAAAATACATCCTTGAGATATATTTTGTAGGAAGACCGCACAAAAATAGTGTGAGTCGGTTGACAACCAAACACTTTTCCTTTTTCAAATAAATTTTTTTTTTTTTCTTTTTGACTTTTTTCTTTTCTCAGATCCATAATTGCTGATGTTAAGATGGTGGGTTTCCTTGGTTTTTTAGCACTCAAAGCACATTTTCCAGATTTGAGGGGAAGCTTTAAAAAGCAAGAGTAAAATGCTTTCACCTTAAGAAAAATTAAAAGTTTGAAATTTATGTTTGTTAGGTGGATTTAAGCTGAGATTAATTGTAATCTTAAGACATAATAATAATAGAGGAGTAAAGGGGGAATAGCAAAGAGCAACACATATCCATGAATACCTTGAGGATATTTGGGGAAAGCCAACTAGGCCCACGAGAAGAAAAGGAGGCAACAAAAGCCTTTGTCACATTGATTGTGTGAGACTTGTATATTACAGCTTTTGGAGACCTGAAATGCCCAATATATTGAAAAGAAGAATGTTAATAAAGAAAAGAAGTAACCTAATGCATCTATCAGAATTTGGAAATTTATGAAATCACTTAATAGATGAAAATAATTATATTATATTATAATATCTTTGAATAAAATATCTATCAAAAGACACTAATCACGAGTTACAATAGTCGATATTTTAAATATATTTGATAAATAAATAAAATATCCATATAAAAGTTACCCACCCAATCATGTTGTTAACTCTCTTACTCCTTTTTTTTTTTTTCGTTTGTAACATCAACATGAGCATGTTCTGTAAATGGGCAATGCTATGCTCTCCTCCCTATTCCCACATGCACAACTGGGTGTCATATCCGACCCGGGTATGATACCATTGACACAAGCTTCGATTTTTGTAACATAACCACTATGACCAACCGATCCCAATTAATTAAGAAAATGTTATGATGCTGATGAAGAATCCATTTATGAGCAAAGTACTCTATAGTGTTAGCGAAGTTGAACCGACCCTCGTTTGGCATGTTCGAGCGTGGCTGGTATGGAGGCCAATCGGGTGGGAAAGTACTAGAATCTTGTGTACCATCTGAACTCTAGTATCAATATATAAACACATTTGTTTTCTTGATAAGGAGTTCGTATATTTTCTCGATAAGGAGTTCGCATATTGTGCTATCATTGGGGTTTCCTACAATTTATTAGCAAAGTCTGTGTCATTCCTCCTTTCGAAGTCCATTGAATTTTTTTTCACACTTCCACAGAAGTAATGACATTCCCAACCATCCCAGGTCAATGTTTAGGGGAGTGCTAGAAAGACATAGTAAATCAGAGAGTTAGCACAAAAGTTTCTCTTCAAGAAAATGCAGATCAAAAGCTCATAAATGTCTACCTGGTAGATTTGATGTAATTCGTGACCTGCTTAGATGTAACATTGTTAAGTATTGCTGTCGATATCATAAAAGTGAAGGCAGTGTCTTCATATGAAGCACTATTTATGATGGTGCCGAAGCCCTTGGCTGCGGCGACACTCATGTCCTGACCCCCACCATCATCAATGCAGTACACAATCTTCCCTTTAACCTTCTTCGGATCGAGTGTTCCGAAGTCACAATAACTGTGCACCATCAAAATCGAAAGATTAAATGACAGCATTGAAGATTACATGCCCTAGAAAGAGGAAAATGCGTGCTTGCTCCCTCGAGCAAAATCGAAATAATGTAAATGTTATGGTCTTTCAAGAATCGAAATTATACGTCCAAGGATATTGAACACTCAAAATCCATTTATTTATTCAAATTCATGATTGTGGTGATCAGAACGTATTAAATTTTGGAACTTCAAGGCATCTCCAGTGTAGAATTTGTAAGGGTGGACAAACTATAATAGGCGAGAAACACAAAAACCCTAATATTTTAAAATCCACGAAAGTATCTTTTATCTTCTTCTGTATACAATTTTTTTTTCTTATTTGTCTGAACGTATGCATTCTTTTCCTTTACCTTGGGAAGAGGTAGGGATTACGTGTACCATTGCCTGCCTTAGCCCCATTTATCAAGGGATAATTCTTCTTGCTGGGAGAAAAAGTATTTACTGAGACCCCCTGTTATCAAGAGTGAACCACACGGAGTTAAATATTGAATAATGTATAGTTATCAAATTAAAATAAATTGATATTTGCATGATTTATATATATTAAATCGAATCAATTTGTTGACCTCACCACACTATTTTCCAAGGGAATGTGTTCTAGGCTAACATTTGGATTTCTTTTTTTTTTTTTTTTGCTCCTTGCCACCATTTCTGTAGGGTATTAGGAAAACTGTTTGGAACCTACATGCTGGCATAGTGTACAAACCTCTCAGGCCTCCTTTCATCTGAGATTCCATGCAAGAAAATACAATCTAAAAAAACATTTTCATTTGTGACTTACTTCGAGCTTTCTGCCGTTGCCGAGTCTCACCAATGTCTTAAATTGTCTCTCACTGGTACTGGCAGCCACTGTGAATATCCAGGGCGCGACATTCGTGATTGTGGAAAGAGTAGGCCCGTCATTGCCGGCTGAGCAGACCGAAAGGATACCCTTTTTCATGGCATGGAAGGTCCCGATGGCTATAGGGTCATTGAAAAGCTCATATGAAGGCCCTCCAAGTGATGCTGAGATAATATCTACACCATCTGCTATGGCTTCATCATAAGCAGCTAGTAAATCCACTGATGAACAACCTAGTGACCAGCACACTTTGTAAATGGCCAACCTGGCTCTTGGCACGGCCCCTCGAGCCGTGCCGGAAGCTAGGCCATAAAGGCTGGCCCCTCGAACTAGGCTTCCTGCAGCTGTGGATGCAGTGTGTGTGCCATGGCCGTCTATGTCAATTGGGCTTGGTTGGTCCTCGGGGCCGATATCGTCGCTTAAATGAAAATATTTCGCCCCTATGATCTTACTGCACATTATCAAATGATTAACACGCATAAAATTTATGATGCTTTAATGAAAATTGCATTCATAACTTTCAAAGAGAATCTAAGTGTTCAATCAATTTTGCATTTAAATCAATAAGAAGAAAGACATGAACAGATGCAGAGGATCCTAACAATGCCATGTTGAATGTACCATATCCTCGAAGATAAAATAGCAAGGGCATCCACCGTATGTTCTCAATATGGATGGTAGAGATGAGACTTTGTAAGGACAATCATGGATGAGCTGGTGGACATACAGTTCATATCGACTAGGACTTGCGTATAAATTTTTCACTATAATGGTTTGTTTTTCTAAATGATAGAGCAAGATTGTTTCTTTTTAATTTAACAAAGTCAATCACTTCAAGCTGTCAAAATCAAAATTAGGTAGATTAAAGCATACAATTAACTCAGTTCAAATTCTGAGAACTTTACATGGAGTGAGTTCAAATTCTGAGAACTTTACATAGAGAAAGAGCACACCTTTAAGCTCTCAATTTCACCTCTGAATTGTGACCACATATCAAAGGAATACAAATTTAAAATATAAAGGATGTTTCTATAGGACCTACTCTTTATGAAAACAAAGTAAAGCTTCACCAAGAATCTTCATCCGAAAAGCATTTTGGGTATTAGAGATGGCTCTAAAATTAATTTCTAATATGTACTCTAAAAATGGTACGGATCTTGCAGACCTATGAAGATTTATTTTTAGGGCGAAATGGACGACCTAGGTAATGTGTGTTACAATATAAATTATTTTTTTATTTTAAAATCTTAGTTTTTCTCATACTCATAATAGTCAAGGAAGAGATGATCAATTTGAAGATTTTCCAATACTAGAACTGTAATTTTGGATGGGTTTTGAGGTGAGGCTTGTGATAGGGTTAATTGAAAACTTTTCCAAATATAAAACCCACTTTTGGCTGGGTTTTCCAAAGTAGATGTTAGACTATACTATAGCACAGGGGACATCCACCGTCCACATCAATAGTGTGTAATAATGCCCGTCCATTCTGATGCATAATGTTGGAGTTTAAGTATTTAACTAATAACAACACATAGTGAATGCTAGTCACCGGCAACCACAATTATTCATCACCGTCCTTTAGATAGAGAAAAGTTGGATGACCCAATGATACTACACACCATGACGATTATACCTAAATATCAATTTTCTTATAAGATTGTATACAACGAGACCATTTATCTTTGATTCAAGGTGATCACAATTATTTGCATCCATCTAATGTGAAAATTTGATAGTTTGGGTGTCTCAAAATTCGAGCTTGATCAATGGAATAAATACAACCACCCAATTTTACATCTAATGGTCAAGATTAACTGTGACCACTTTGTATCAAAGATAAATGATCTCATTCTATACTTTTCTTTTCCTTATTGATGGGTAAATGGAGCCATCGAACCCTATAGAAATGTTTGGAATCCTATTTATTTAGGCTCATTGTATTATGAGTTATATAAAAATTGGTTTTATAAAAGGAAAAATATAGATAGAGACCATTTACTTTTGGTATAAGGAGGCCGTCAAATTTTAAATTTATTTGTAAGAGTGTCATTGACTAGACTCAAAGTTAAAAAAAAGTTTATTGAATTTCGTAACACTTTCCAAACCATATAAACTTGATATCTAATAGCTAGAAGTAATTGTGACTTCCTAGTAATAAAGATAAATAATATCATAATACACAATCTTTTTATAAAACCAATCCAAAAGATTGTTGGCACTTTTATTTTATTTATTTTTTATGTTTTAATAACTAAAATACCAGTTTTCAATACCCAAAATATGACTGTTTTGGGCCTCAAAGAAACCATTTTCCAAAACCCAGATTTTTAACAAAAACCTAAATTTAGATAAAACCCATGCTCCTTTTTTAAAAAAAACAAAAAACAAAAAAAAACCAGGAGCCACATGAGCACTTGGGAAATATGAGAACATATTACTCTAACAAAATAAATACAAAGTTAGGGTAATTAAAGGAAAAGATATAAAGAAAGAAAAATTACTTGTTGCAACCAGTGAAGTTGGGGAACTTGTGACATGATCCCTTCCATTTTGGTGGTGGAGGTCCAAACCCTTTGTCGTTGAAACTTTCTAAGTCCGGTTGAACCCCTATGTTTTCCCATACAAAATCCGAACAGGCTTTAAGTTCTTGTTCATAATAAAATAACATAATCTATGGATTTATCAAAGTACCTGTCATATATGAATTATTTAACATTTCAATTGTATTGTTTGATGTCATTTCAAATTAACCATGAAAGGACACATGATCATGGGTTAGAATAGTTTCGTGTACTTTGTTAAATGATGCATATTCTCATCCGTATTTTGATAAATTTTTCTTTATTATTATATTTCAAGAAAAACAGAGAATTTTAGTTCACTGCAAGTAATCATATAATAAGCTAACATACCTTCAATCTCAGTGAGTGATGACAAAATTGAAAAAAAATAAGAAAGAAGAACAAATTTGGTTTTGATTTTTTTTTTTTTCAAAAAATGACAGGGCACTATTTCATTCTCTTTCAAGAAATAGAGTTTTAAAATAATTTTCAAATTAAGTATTTGAAAGTATTTTCTACAAAATAGGAATATGTTCAAATAACGTTTTGTAAATGGCAGGTGAGTCCGGTCCATCTCTTAGAGTTGAACCACATTCCCTATGCTAACCCTTGAAATATGATGGTTCACTTTATCCTTATTTATTAAGACTAGGTCGGATCGCCAACTATTGTTTTGACAGCTCTGGTAAAAAAACAAAAAAGGAAAATTCGGCAACAAAAAACCATTTAAACGATACTTCATTGGTTTTAATTGCTTGGATTGGTTAAATAATGTTGAATATTTTTTGGGGGAAAATTACATACACATTCGTTATAGTTTGAATATAGTTTCCGTTATTACGGCTCTACGATTATTACCACTGTGTTCATTTTTTTATGTCAACCGAAATTTAAAAAAAGACGACTGTAACCGAATTCAAAGTATTTCAATTTCGTATTTTGAATAATCAAAAATTTAAAATTTTTGATTCTTCAATAACCCAATTTTTTTTCTTTTTTTGTGGGTCTGTGTATCCTCTCTCTATATTACATGGGTAAAAGTGGTTTTTTTTTAAACTCGCTCTCTCTCTCCCCTTCACCGAGTGTCTTTTATTTGGGTAAGTTTATAATCCCTGAGATTTCTCCTAAATTTAGGGGCTTTTATTGGATAACCATGATTTCTCAAACTAATTGTTCTCTTGATTTTTTACCATGATTTCTCAAACTAATTGTTCTCTTGATTTTTTCGGATAACCATGATTTCAAAGAGGTAGAGAGAAAATACATCACATGATTTTTCCTAATCTTCTAATCTCATAATCCCTAAGATTTCTCTTAAATTTAGGAGCTCAAACCGAGTTGTTCGATTTTATCGTTGATTTTATCGGATAACTAGAGGTAGAGAAATACGCCACAAGAGAGATAAAACATTTTTTGGTTCTTGATAGAAAAAAGGTAAAGTCATTTTTTTTAAAAATTTTGATACGGTGATAATAACGTAAACTATAACGAATAACATAAACTATAATGAATAACATAAACTATAACGAATATGTATATAATTTTCTCTTTTTTTAAATATATTTTATATTTAAAAATATTGTTATTATTTTATGTTTTAAAAAATCTAGTCCAATTAATGTGACTAACAGTCAAGCAATTTCAAGTTAAGACTCATTTGGTGACTAGAAATTACAAATAACGTCGGGCAACTGGCTCTTTTTTATTTTTTAAAAATTGGCCATTAGTCAACCTAAATTTTAATTTATTTTTTTTGTTTTGTTTTAATTTTTTCTTTTGCAAGGCAGTGCTCTCAAACTTTAAGGCACCGCCCTACTAACGAAACAAACTAAAACAAAAAAAACAAAATTCGGATGAGGGCAATTTTTGAAAAAACAATAAATAAAAAAAAGCTGAGTGGACCGATCTTCTTTGTAATTTTTTTATATAAGTAAAACATTTCATATTTTACCTAAAATTTTATGGTTCTACGTAAATCCCTCATTCTAAAATAACCTAATTTAATTAACATAGACACTTGAAGAATGATAAAGGAAGCTTACCTGTATCCATGAGGGCCACAATTATGTCACTCTCCATGTTACTCCTTTTTGCGCTATTTTTTAGGCCAAGAAAATCCCATGATCGTGTCGTGTGAAGCTTGCGATAAGAGTTCAAAAACACAGAAACTACTCCTTCCTTCTCTGCAAAATCCCAATGTAAGGGTAAATCTAAGTGTATGTGTACTCTATTGTAAAGATGCAAATATGTGTGTCAGCATTGAAACAGATATGAGTGTCCTCAACACTAACTGAAGTTGGCTTTTTAAATGACACTTTGTGTATATATATATATATATATATATATATATATATATATATTATTTAAGTTAAAGTTTAAAGTTAGTAGTATACTATTATTATTATAATAGTACTTTACTAACGTACGTAGGTAAGTTAAGTAAATAAACGTAACTTAATACGTAGTA